CTTGAGGTAATTGAAAAACTACCCGAACCTACCACGGTTAAGGGAATCAGAAGCTTTTTGGGTCATGCCGGATTTTATAGAAGGTTTATCAAAGATTTTTCWAAAATTTCAAAACCTCTTTGTTTACTCCTCCAGCATGACCAGAAATTCTATTATAATGATGAATGCAGAAATGCGTTCAAAACTTTGAAAAAAGCTTTGGTTACCGCACCAGTAGTAGTTGCCCCAGATTGGAACAAACCTTTTGAGATTATGTGTGACGCTAGTGATTGGGCGGTAGGTGCTGTACTAGTACAAAGGAAAGACAAGGTGTTTCATTCAATCTACTATGCAAGTAAGATTTTGAATGAGGCACAAATTAATTACACCACAACTGAGAAAGAATTATTGGCCATAGTTTTTGCTTTTGAGAGATTTAGGTCCTATTTGATGGGAACAAAGGTAATGTGCATACCGATCACTCAACCATCAAGTACCTAATTTCAAAGAAAGATGCAAAACCAAGGATAATAAGATGGGTGCTTTTATTGCTAGAGTTTGACTTAGAGATTCTTGATAGAAAGGGGGTAGAGAATCAAGTAACGGACCATTTGTCTAGATTGGAAGAGCCCGAGAAAGGAGGAATGGACATTAGTGATACTTTTCCGGATGAAAGAATCATCTTGATTGACCAACCAAAAACACCATGGTTTGCGGATTTAGCTAATTTCTTGGCCTGTGGAATAAAACCCTCTGATTACACAGGCCACATGTTGAAAAAATTCTTTCATGATGCTAAATCTTATTTGTGGGATGACCCATTTTTGTTTAGACTTGGTGAAGATCAGATTTTGAGAAGATCCGTGCCCAAAACTGAAGTGGCAGCAATCCTGCAGCATTGCCATCATGCACCATATGGAGGCCATTTTGGAGGCCAAAGAATTGCAACCAAAGTTTTACAGTCCGGTTTTTATTGGCCAACCATTTTTAAAGATTCCCACAATTTTGCACAAAGGTGCAACGAGTGTCAACGGAGTGGCTCCATTTCCAAAAAGAATGAAATGCCATTAAACGGGATACTCGAAGTTGAATTATTTGATGTTTGGGGAATAGACTTCATGGGTCCTTTCCCTCCATCAAATAATTGCCAATACATACTTGTGGCTGTTGACTACGTATCCAAATGGGTGGAGGTTATGGCATGTGTGTCAAATGACGCAAAAACTATGGTTAAGTTCCTCCAAAAACAGATTTTCACACGGTTCGGTACCCCAAGGTCACTAATTAGTGATGAGGGTACCCACTTTATGAACAATTTGTTAAAAGGAGTCCTTGAAAAATACAATGTTAACCACAGAATTGCCAAGTCCTATCACCCTCAAACTAATGGTTTGGCAGAGCTCTCTAATAGGGAAATTAAGAGCATTTTGGAAAAAGTGGTCAAGCCCAATAGGAAGGACTGGGCATTCAAATTAGATGATGCTTTGTGGGCATATCGAACTGCTTTGAAAACACCAATCAATATGTCTCCATATAAGCTAGTATACGGAAAAACATGTCATTTGCCCTTAGAACTTGAGCACAAAGCATATTGGGCTATCAAAGAGCTCAATATGTCCTTGGATGAAGCCGGAAAGAAAAGAAAGTTTCAACTTTGTGAAATGGAAGAACAAAGACAAATATCTTATGAAAATGCTAAACTTTATAAAGAAAAGCCAAAGAAATGGCATGATAATAGGATCCAACACTAGGAGTTGAAAGAAGGGAAAAAGGTCCTCTTATTTAACTCTAGGTTGAAACTATTCCCGGGAAAGCTCAAGTCTAGGTGGTCCGGACCCTTTGTCATTCATAAAGTTTACCCTTATGGAGCGGTTGACCTCATTAACCCGGAGGACAACACGGTGTTTAAAGTGAATGGGCAACGAGTTAAGGTATTTCATGATACAGTAGCATTCCCAGAGCATTGCTCTGAGAATTGGGCTATACCTTAGGATGAAGGTGTTTTTGGACTTTTTCAAGTCCAAGCTTTGTTTGTAAATATTTTCCCTCTTTATCTTTCTGTTTTAGAGCAGTTATGTTTTAATAGTTTGGTCTTGTGTAGGTTGTTTTCAAGGAATTTATCATGGGAAGTTGATGTTCTGCCAATGCTACARCATTCAGTGGTTCACATGTGAARATTGGCAGCACCTTTGTAAGAAAAACAAGAGAGTACAAAGTGATGTCATCACTGCATCACAACAGTTTTTGTCAGTCAAAATTCTCAGATTTTGTCCCCCATGCACCACTACCCACTCCATCTAAATCAAGGTTTATCCATTGGATAACTACCTTTGGGCATTACCTTAACCGTAAAAAACAAGTGATTAGAAAGATTTAAGGGAAAAATGACTTTTTATCTTCTCCATAACCACCTTTGACATAGCCGGCTGTTTCCCCCATCCATTACCCGCCGGTTTCTCACTTCAAATCACATCTCCATTACCAAGGTTCACCAATCAAATCCCTTTCTCTCCTTAAACCACTCTCCATAAACCACTCTCACTAAACTAAACTATCACTCCACTTCTCCTCATTTTCGAAAACAATGGCACGGATGAAATGAGCTGCTGTCCGCGACCCACCACAACCGGTCCGGCGAAGTAACTGCCGACAGGCATGCACCTCCGCCTCGCGACCGACAGGGGAACCTGAAATGATTGACCTCGTTGCAAATAGTGCCTCGTTGTCGCCACCATCATCGCCATCACCGCCGAGACCACCGATTATCACGCCGTTAATCGCCGATTCCTCACCACCTCGGGCTAGACGAACGCCACGCCGGCCTCCGTCGCCTCCTCCACCTTCAATCGACTGCCTTCCTTCGCCTCCTCCACCTTCAATCGACTGCCTTCCTTCGCCTCCACCCACCTCCAATATCAAACCACCATTGCCGCCGGCCGTCGCAAGCCCTAATTTGGGCATTGAGGTAAATCTTAATACATGCCCTAATGAACCTATTGAGGGATTGATGACCTTCGACTCATCTGAGGAGGATAATTTTATACAACCAAACTCTCCATCCACTGTTTTAAGCCCAGCAAAGATGTATTTCTTGACCTGGTATGATCAACCCTGTGCACAAATGCTCGAAGCTACTGTGTTGGCTGGCTCTACACCTCACATTGTTGAGGATGAAGTTGTTGGGCTTGATAATGTTGAACTGCATAATAGGAACGATATATTTGACACCCCACACAGTGAGGCCGATTTAGAGGCTGATTTAGAGGCTGATGTAAGGAATTTGACTCCAATTCCTACTAAAAAGAGAAAATGATTGGGACGAATCTTTGCTACCCGCTCTAAGGCTGTGGATGGTCAGCCTATCAAAAAGAAACCGAGGTGCACTCCACCATCCATTCAGTTGAGGCACACAGCCTTCATGCCTCGAAAATCACCTCGAACGGCCACGGTTAGGCCTGATGATACAGCAGGCCCTTCTCGGGTGCGAGCCACACACAACATGTCAAACACTAGACCCATTCCTAGGCCACAACAGAAGTTCAATAGGTTTAGCACAGAAGTAGCACAGTTGAAGTTTGCAAAGATAAAAAATAAGAAGGTGTTGCCAGATAAAGGTTCGATAGGAGAAGTATCGAAGAGTTCAGTTTTATCCGGGACGCGATCAACCGACAAGGATGGCAAGTGCTTTGCCAGGTAAAAAGCTCTTTTAATTTGTCTTTGATTAGAGAGTTTTACGCTGAAGCTTGTGTCTTTAGCACCACAAAGATTAAGGTCCGGGGTGTTCGGGTGAGTATTTCGGCCAAAGCAATTAATAAGCTTTTAGGCCTTTCACCCCCGGCTGAGACTGATTTTGAGACGCTTTCTCAATTGGCCTCATTTGCCAAACTGGAGGAAATCGGTAGAGAGCTTGGGAAAGTTGGGACCGGATGGGATGTCCATAGTAACTACATGTTACGGACTTATAGGGCATCAAATTTAAAGCCTGATGCTAATGTTTGGATGAATTTCATTCGCTATTCTCTTAACCCAACTACTCATGATAGCTCCATTTCAGTTGAGAGAATCATGTTATTATACTGTGTGGTTACGGGTAGGACAATTAATGTGGGGGAAGTTGTTGAAAAGGCCATCCTATATTGTTCCAAAAGGAGACAAGGGAAGCTGTTTTTCCCAGGCCTGATTCACAAGTTGCTTATGCAAGCTGGTGTTCCCGAGTACATTGATGACTTAGTGATTAAGGAGTGTGAGGAGAAGTGGACAATTGATATGAAGGCTGTTTCAAGACTAAGAGAGAGGAGTGAGAGAGGAAGGGAATTGCCCGGTGTGACTAAGGCTATGGAGGAGCTTTTAGAGCAAAGCGGTAGTATGATGGACTTCTTGATAGAACAGAGGGCCGAGATGGTAGAAAGGTTAGAGAACATGCAGGCTGATTTGACAAACAGGTTAAAGGCAAGTGAAAAGAAGATGAAGAAGAGGTTTGAGAAGCTGAAAGAAGGCTTGGAGAATGGGGTAGCTGAAAAGATCAAGAGGATGCAGAAAAAGATCAATCGGTACAAGACGGAGACCAAGAGACTGAGGACAGAGATTGCATCCGTGGCTGCCCGGAGTACACAGCCTACTCCTTTGGAGTATGACAGATTCTACCACCTTACTTTAGCTTCATATTTTATATTTTTTTGAGTCGGGAATAGTTTTTATAATTTATAGTCTTATTTTTACGCATGATCATTTCAATTGAGGGCGGTTAAACACATGAGATCATAGCCTGAATAATTTTAGTGATGGTTTGTCATTTGATCATGGTACTTTGCTTTTGGCTAGAACTAGCAAAACTCTTTTTGGGAAAACACTTTGATCACACGACCACCATTAGGAAATGAGATAGGCCATCTTTTCTATACTCATACTAGCCACTTGCACCCTTTAAACACCATTTACCCCACAAAACGCCAATGCGGACATTGCCATATTCAAGTTTGGGGGAGGAGTTTACATAAGGACACAAAGTCAATACAAAAGAGCAAAGCTCTAAATTGATTCCTTATCACACATAGGGTGTTGAAAACACAACAAAAGTCCCATAAGGGCTATGTGTTTTAGAAAATGATATGAAATGGCACAACAAAAGTCTCATAGGGATTATGTGCAAACTCCAAACAAAAAAGGCCAAAAGGCCCAAAAATTTGAAAAATTTATATGTGGAGTATACAAGTGAAAAAGGCTATGAGAGAAAAGATACGCCAATGAGAGAAAACCCCTTTTAAGCCCTATTGATCCTAAAATGGTGATTGTTTTTGAACTTAACAAAGAAAAGGGAATGCCAGCCTATGGTTCATGCAAAGAACTTACTTTTAATTGACACTTCTTAGATTTATGAAAAGCTATGAACATCATGATGCTATAACTCTCTTTGGGAAGGCACTTAATSCCTTGATCATGCATTTTAGTTTATATTGAGTCTTTATATTTGTCTTTTGGTTGCTTGGGGACAAGCAATGGTTTAAGTTTGGGGGTATGATATGTGTTGAGAATTTAACACATAAAGCGCTATTTATACGTCTTTTTAATTATAATAATTTCTTTTCATTCCCACTTTGAGTCCTTTTCATTTATTTTTTTATACTTTTGTTATTATGAAGCTAAATATTGTGGTTGACTTGTTGGTATGTGTGAATGAAGCTAATTGAGAGTTTTTGTGAAAACAACAAATGCTGCAGCATTGGTGTAGCATCGACCTGATTCATGCAAGGCTTTTTGGAGGACTTAATGGATAAGACGCTGACTTTTTGAAGGTGGAGGACAGCTGTAAAAGCTGCATTTTTAGTGGAAAAATCGGTTGTTAGACTTTGGTTAAGACTATGTACTTTCTAGTTACACTTTTGTTAGTTTGTAACTTGTTTTTAGAAACCTTAGCCTACAAGTTCTTTATTTTGTCTTCTAGTGCCCATTTTTGAGTATAAATAGAGGGCTTGGGATGCCTTCTAATCCATCCTTCCATTCCTCCATCCCATTAATCCTCCATTTCCATCTTTTCTTCCATTGTCTTGCTTTTGTAAACCCTCTCCAAGGGTGTTTTTAATTAAGTGCTTTAAGTTCTTCATCTTTTTCTTTATTTACTTTCTCATCTTTTATTTTACGTCATTTATTTTCTCGTCTTTTATTTTATCGCTATTTACATTCCGTCATTTATTTTTCGTAATTTACATTCTCGTCATTTACATTTCTGTCATTTAATTTATCATCATTTACATTTCCGTCATTTATTTTATTGTTATTTACTTTACGCAATTTACGCTTATGTCTTTATTTTCCGTTATTTATTTTTTTACTTTCCGTTATGAGTAGCTAAGATTTTATAGCTTGGGTGTAAGACGGAAATGTGAGATTTTCAAACCAAATGAAAGTAGCTAAGTGTTTTCGAAAACGACGTTGTTTCATTCGAGTTTTTATAAAACCAAGCACACTTCTTGACGGGTTGATCACTTGAAAGTGTTAAAATGCGATGGACTTAGAGATAAGTCATCATTAAGCACGTCAACTTGGATGACATAAGAGGTAAACTTGAGAAAGTTGCCGACAAGTGTCATTTATGTTTTTCAAAACGTAACTCCCGACGGGTTGGTCACTTGTCAAAAGTGTCAAAGTGTGATAGATTCAGAGATGAACTATCAAGAACACGCCAACTCAAATGATATGGGAATCGAATCGAGAGAGTGATTTTTAACAAAGAGATTTGTTTATACATATATTTTGAAAACACCATTGTGTCACTATCCCCGGTCCGGACACCACATGGAGATATGGGTGGAAAGCTATAAGATAGTGAAATGGTGAAGTCCGAGAGGAATGCCTTCAAAATAGATGATGAAACTTAGTTTCAAAACACTGCTTGCTGTAGCATTGCTACAGCATTGGCTGCTGGAATTTGTGTTTGGGTCTCAGCTTAAGTCTTACACCCTTGCTTCTTTTATATATTCTGTATTCTGTTTTGGATCACCTTAAAATCAAAGAAAGGTCTTCAAAATCGCCATCTGAAATCATCTCTTTCATTGGACTCTAATCTAACTTTGGCTACAATCCCTGTGGACGATAATCCGGTACTTGTACCACTTATTACTTGGAAAGACAACGTTGGGCCGTATTGTATACTTGCTTTTCGGCTCAATTTTATTAAGTCTAAAGGTGTGAGATATCATCGACCAGGACTTAAGAGGTATTTTATGTGTCCTCCTTGTGATTTRGAAATTTGGTCAAATGAGATTGTGAGGGGGAGGGTGCATGGGCATGCACCGCCTCAAATCCCTATGCTTTTATTAAACTTACTATATATAGTAAGTAAAAGGGTACTGAAAAAGGTTTCTTGGAAAAACTTTGGAAAGTATGTTTAACAAAGATAAGGAAGAAGAGCATTCATTGAGGGCTCAAAAAATGTGAGCTTTTACAAAGTTTTGATATATATGAGTTATTATGCTTCATATAATTTACCAGATTCATGATGATATATTGGTATCAAACTAAGATTTTACCAAGGTTGTTACTAATTTTCATCACTCAATATGTTGTCCGGATTGGACTCTCATCGCCCAATGTGTTGTTCGGATTAGACCCTCATCGCTCAAGTATTGTCCTGATATGGTATTCATTGGTTCGGGTGGTATCTGGAAGAGGATGCTTATCAATCAGTATAGCTCAGTGTGTGCCTGGATMAGGGTGTTTCAAACTATAACCAATAAGCCTGTTTATTATTAATAAATGACGAGAAATGGTGTTGTAACCATGATAGATGGCGGTGTAACCGCGATAGATGGAGGTGTGACCACGATAGATGGCAATTTAACCGCGATAGATATTTGATAATTATATCATTTGAAATAAGGTCTGAACTTTATTAAACTATAATGACATATTTGATTTACWGGAGAGAATTCACTTAGTAGACCATCTGGTCTAACCTTTAGTTG